CAACGTCCCAATTGCCCTGATGCTCCAGGTTGTCATTGGCTTCATCACTGGCTTCAGCTTCCTGGTTACCATCCTCTACTCCATCAACGACTACGACGCCCTCTTCACTTCGTCCTATCCAATCGCCGAAATCTATCGACAAGCCACTGGTTCGCGGTCCGGCGCAGCTGGCTTGCTAGCCATGATCATGATCTTGATTGGGCTCACAGTTGTCGGCCTGTACATTACCTGCGGGCGCACTCTCTGGGCACTCGCCCGTGATGGTCAGTACAATCCCCAATGCACTCACTTCCCTGATGACACTAACATGCTACGATAGGTGCCACCCCTTTCCCCAAAAGACTGTCCCATGTCAACGAGAAATTAGAAGTCCCCGTCCTCACGACCATCATATCTGCCGTACTTGTCACAATCCTCGGCGCCATATACGTAGGCAGCACGACGGCTTTCAACGCCTTCGTCGGCACCTTCACCCTGCTTTCCAGCAGCTCTTACGTCGCCTGCATCCTTCCACACCTCCTCACCGGCCGAAAGAACATCACATACGGGCCCTTTAGGCTGCCAGGCATCGTCGGCTACATTGTCAATGGCATCTCCTGCGCATACCTGATTGTCTGGCCAATCATGTACTGTTTCCCCTTCTCTCTCCCTACCAGTGCCCAGAGCATGAATTACGCCAGTCTCATCTGGGGCGGTCTGACCATCTTCGTCGCCTTGTTTTGGTTCTTCAAGGCTAGGAAGGGATACCAGGGCCCCATTACGTCGGGAGGAGCACTCTTTGGTGTTGAGTTTGGTAGTTGATCGCCACCTGCTGATTTAGACTGTATATATTTCAAAACCTGCTCTACTTTCTTACGCTCTATTGTGTGTTATGAGGAAGAGAAGATCTCATCATCCATACAATTAGTGTTCAGGAAATGTCCATTCTATTGCCGAATTGCCTTCCTCTTAACCCTTTCTTGTACAACGTGTAGTTCGGCAAAACTCGTCCCCGTAATAAGAACCTTATTCCAAGGATGTAAAATCATTTTGTATAAGATCAGGGGGCTACTATCTCTTTTCAGGTCTTTATTGAGGCTTGCTCCGTAGGAGGGCAGTGCTCCTTTTCCCATCACCTGTGAAGATGATCAACAAAGCTAAACCAAAAGCCTGTAACTAGACAATAAGAGAAAATTGGACACGAGGCCGATTGCATGAATAAATCCATTATTTTTATTTATGTGTATGGGCGTTGCCTTGTACCCAGGATCATAGGGAAGCAAAAACCACTACGGAGACAGGGGCAACGTCACCGGCGGCCTCATGTTACTTGCCATTTCGCCGGGGATGGTTCCACAAAATATAAAGAGAAGGTGCGAAGAGGGCTCCCGATTAGATAACTTCAATTGATCAAACTCCCTCTCATACTAGCCGAAATCACAAACACCCATGCATCGAACCCTTGCAACAATACTACAAAGAAAAGACTTGGTGAGGGGCAATCCCCTCACACATCGTCTTGATCGGTGGCAACCAGAATCGAGGATTCTCCCATTCATCTTTAAAACTTACTGCACTCCCTTCCAGAATCTGACTATGGTATGTTCTCTCCTTCTCCGTCAACAGCTCCATCAGGTCCTCGAAACGAGACCGCGTCAGCTTCTGGTTTAGCTGAAAGATGATACTATTCAGGCTTCGTTGAATTTCCGATGCTTCTTCGTTAATGCCCTTGACAAGTTCCACGGCGCCCGAATTTTCCCCTCTCCGACGTTTCATATCTTTGAGAATCCAAACCGTCCCTCGCACGAGAGCATCCACGACAACGTACGCTGTGTGAAGCTGGAAAGCACCACAAGTTGGGGACAGAAGCTCAAACTCCTCACTTGATCGAAAGAGGTCGTTGAGAAGTTGCTCAAGCTTTCTCGACAACATGATATCGATTTGGGCCGTTATCAGTCGAGGCAATGGGACCTTGCCGGGCATCGTACAAGCATCATCTGGAACTGGCGCGATCCCAAGCTTGTTGCCTCCAACAATGTTTGCCGACCCTGTTTTCAACCCTGTGACTTGTCTATTAGCGCTACCCTGAAGTGCATATGCACGCCACATGCATACATACATCTGCAGTACTCGAGTTGGATCAATTGGCTAATCATCTCCTGCGCGTCAGACTAAACAAGTAAGCGTGGGAAGCACTTCTGCTTGACGATGTTCATTGGCGGGCGTTCAACTTACATTGACAGGTATAAGACGAAGCAACTCGCAATAAACGATCCTCCGCTCCGACACCTCCGGCAAGTTACAAGACGAGGCCCATTCGATTGCATCATCAGGCAATTGCGAGTCCATATGTGCCCAGAAGGCCTCCGGATCGGAGACGGCGTACGGTGGCAAGTCTACCCACACCGGTGTTCCCGACGCCGGCGTATAGAATCGACCTCGCGAGTCTCCATCTTGCCAGCATGCAAGGCGAACAGCGACCTGATACGACTTGAAGCCAGTGGAAAACTGGATTTCCTGCACGTCTTCATTCTGCCAATCGCGGATTACCGGAATACACTCGTCGTTCCACCTCTTGGTTAGATTCAGGCTTCCAACCCGGTGGAAGACGTACTTCATGATATATATAGGCTACCGTCGCACCGGTATGGGTCGTGAATATGCACCAGACGATGCTGCGGGACTGGGATGATTTAGGCTTCCGGGGTACAGTTGGTCGTACTTTGACAGGGAAGTGACATTCGTTTCGTCTGCCGTTGGGTTGCACCTGCAGTAGCCCGAGTCGATGGGTTCGATCTGGGTCCGAATCACCGGCGTCCAACGACAGCTGGACACGCAACGAGAACCAAAACGAAGATCGGTTGCTCGCCACAAGACAGGGAGGGGAAAGCGAATGGAGAGAATGGAAATGAGGGGTTCTTGATGACCTGCTTCGCAAGTCTTGTATGGGCGGTCACGGCCTTGGCTATTAATAGCCTAGAGCCAACAGACAAACTCAAACGGAGAGTTGGGACGTGCATCTCCTCGTCATTCAGCGACTGACGCATTGTTATTGTCAATGGGAACACTGCCTCCGGGAACAAGCTGATGATGGTTACAGAAATGCCTTGAAACTCGGTTGCGGTCTACGCTAGTCACCTCCAAAGCCAAGGCTCTCCATACGGCTTACTTCCCAAGGTCAGAAATAGAGATAATATATGACGCATGGACTGGGTCCGAGGAGACGGTACCGCTCGCAAAAGGGATAAACTACGAAGGGAGAGAGTGGCGTGTTCGAGATGACCACCATTGCGCCCTTCCCGCCATTGTCATAAGGCTGAGAGCCATTATCAAACTTGTCTTGGCAGACTTGTTTGGTCATTGAGTCCGGTGATGTTGCGGAAACGGCGGTGAGTCCAGCCACAGCCTGGGGCCAAGGCTGATTGGAACCCACTCTGATTCCCAAGAGTCAATGATGACCGACCAGGGGGGCCCAGGCTGTTGGGCATTCCCAAGTTGCCAATCGACGGATCGGCCGCAATTGATGACCTCGATTAATGTGGACCCTTTGAAATTGGCTCTCTATTCACCGGATGACATGACTGAATTGGCCTCAGCTCATCAGCTGGTGCAGAAGCCTTTCCTATTGAGACAAGGATCTTTGAGTTGCCTACGCCAAAAACCTCTTACTGGGGTTGGTGTTGGTGGCAACTACCTGGTTCAATAGCTCAGACTCTATTACCCCACCCCGAGGAATTGAAACCGGCGATTTTGGAGTCTTTTTTCGAGCTATATCTTAGTCAAATCCGGTGAGCCGAGGTTGATCATCCCCTTGACTGATGTTTGATGGAAACAAAAGTCGGAAACTGAAACAGCTGGAAGAAGAACTGGAGAAGTTTTCAACGCAACACTACAAAGTTGAGAAATTTATAAGAAGAGACTCAAGTGTGCACCGTTTTGGCTCTTCCTCACCCGGAATAAAGTTGACGCTGTATGCTAATTACTCAATTCGGACATGGGCGATTGCATGGGCGTTGTTTGCTAGAGACGGTTTGGAGATTGTTTCGCCATCGTTTCACCCGATTCGGTATCATTCCACTTACCCTGATGCCAAGTTGTTGGCCCTGAGGAGAGCCCTACCGTTGGCCGGAACTTTTGTAGACCCCATATCCGTAAGCGAGAACAATAAGAGGGATTTGATTATTCGGGACGAGTGATGAGTGGCTTCCCGGTTAGCTGGTTCGTTGGTTGCCCATTACCAACAAAAGTGACCGCATGACCTGGGTGCTCCACCATTAGCAAACACATTGGATCCTAATAGACTCGAGGCTCTTTATCAATATACGGCAGGTTTGTCTTACGCACATAAACTCGTATTCTCGGTACTGTTTTCTACTGATTTGGGAAGCTTTGTTTCATTCGAGGCTTGTTGCATGTTACTGTTTGGGATAGATTCTCACTACGAGCTCTAACACGGGATATTGGCAAATACATCCTGATCATTAGGTGGGAATGTCGTCATGGCATTGGGGGGATCTTTAGTATCGATTTGTACAAGTAGATTCATTCAGCAGGTAACCGATCTTCTTGAGGACGACTGCTCAGATATAACTCGTTAGGATGGCTTCACCGTACCATCGACTTTCTGAAAGGGGCATAAACTGTATGGGAGCCAAGGCATCATGGTAGTTGTGCCTACCAGAGATAAACAACGGATAAGTAGTCACTTGGCATTACAGACACGAACAAAGGGGCAAAATAAATATTTGAGAGAAAAGTTAATTGCAAACTATCTAGGAAACCCCATTATCTAACAAACAAAAGACGTATTAAAGACGAATAGCAGAGAACGATGCTGGATAGTCCGCATGAATGGGGAAGCTACCAGAAGAATTATTATCATAACTGCGTGTCGGGTATCCTTGTTCTATTGTAGGCAAAAATATAGACCAACAAAGAGACGCCATCCAAACCAAGATCCAACGATGAGGACCGGGACTATTGCCAGTAAAATGAAGAGGTACCCTCTCGAGTGACACACTTCATGTCTGACGCTCTCCAAGTTCCTTTTGCAGCCTCTGGGTCCAATCGCGAATAGGCGCGTTGTTGATGAGTTCAACATAGAACGGGCGCAGCGACTGCGGGAGCCGCTTCGCAATGACGTACCCGTCCTCCTCGACGTACATCCGGAGCCAGGCGATCCTGGTCATGAAGGCGGCAGCACTAGGTCCTCCAGCATAACGGGCGTACAGGCGCATGTAGGCCTCGACGGCGATGTGAGCGGGGACGGCGACGACGGGGTTCTCCGGGTACTTGAAGTAGCCAGAGCCGCGCCCCGGCCTCTGCGGCGGCAGCTCTGACCGGTCGGAGGCGAGGATCAGGTACGACGGCAGGCTAGACTTGTGAGGCGCCAGGAGCTTCTTTTCCATTGCGGGGAGGAACCATAAGGCTTGTGACTGAGACAAGATGGCGATCGTATCCTTCCTATCTCGGATGTGAAAGTGGCGGCCTGGCGTGGGACTGGTACGAGCCGGCGTAGCCACGGAGCAGGTCAGGGTGTGCGGGCAGGTTAGCAACGGTCCTCGAGGCGCGATTGCTCCTGCGGCGGCTGATACCATGCCGTCGGGAACTACAAATTCGATCGACTTTCGCCGGGTCAGTGGATTATGCCGCGAATATCAAGGTGGCTGAAGGGATATACTTACGCCAAGAATCGTGGGAACTCCGTGGATTCGAAGGAGACGGTTTCCCCAAAGGATACACGGGATCCCTGCCGCGTTAATATCTCTGGCGAGGGTGGCAACGAAGCGCTCGCTGATGTGGTTGGGATCTGCAGCTTTGGCCTGCTTCTCTTGCAAGGCTCTGGCAGCTGCTTGTGCTTGCTTCTCTTCGTGCAAGGCTTTGGCAGCTGCTTGTGCTTGCTTGTCTTGCAAGGCTTTGGCAGCTGCCTGTGCTTGGTTTTCTTGCGAGGCTTTGGTAGCAGCTTTGAGATGTCTGTATTGTCTGGGTTGTGGGGGTTGTGGGAGCACGCCGGACATTGCAGCAGCTCTGGTTTGTTTGACGTGCGAGGACAACGCCGTAGGTTTTGCTCGTCTTGGTGGTATCGGTGGTGGACCCATGACCGTAGTCTTCGTTTGCTTCCCTCGCGGAGGCATGACGGGCAACGTTTGGAGTGATGATCGAATGAATGTTTAGACTTGACGAATATCGCAGGATGGAGAAAAAGAAGAGTGTGTTTTGGGGGGGAGGGAGGAGCTCATGAGAAGTGCTTCAGGTCGAAATCTAGGACTTGGGTTAGCGGAGTACAAAGGCACCCAGTAGGGAAACAAGCTCCAACTGCTGGAAGCAGTTTTTCAAAGTCGTACCTGGTTATGACTGTGCAACTTGGTGGAAGAAAATTAATGCAACTGCACTTTTCGAAGCTGAGTACAAAGAGGGAGTGTGTTTGGAGTTCGAGGGTGGTCACACGTCGATATGTGGGCTGTGGAGCAGCTGCACTGATCGCCACAGGGGGCCTAATGCCTGCTTTTCGGTGCCGTTAGGGGCGAGCGTTAGCAGCTTGATAGTCTAACTCACAGCGTAGGTGCGCCCTAATTATTGGGACGTCTGAGCCCGATTCACTTACACATTGACCAATCTCACCGCACACTCAGGACTGAACCACACTGATTCAGGGTTGCCTCTGCAGCACCTGAGGTTTAGCAACAAAATAAAGTGCAGATAGAAGACTGCACTGTAAGAAATTCACTGTGCAGATGCCATGACCGACGGCCATCCGCTCGACAGCATACATTAACATGGGAATCACCTCCCCTTCCGCCTCCTCTTGTTTAGCTGTTCCCAGAGCTTCACCTCTTTGTCTGTACTTTTCCAGCGACCGAGATGGTCACTGATGCAATATTATCTCCGACACCTGTTCATCGATTGGATTTTCATCTCCACACAGTCACTCAACCATCAATACAACCGAGCATTGAAAGAAGCACGTTGAGACGGGTAGTCTTTGATTAGCATTGGGCGGCGGACCTCTTCACCACTATGGTTGGCACTCCAACATCTGCCCCCTTTATATACTGATTCCCGATCATTATCTATCCTTTGGAACCCCGAGATTAGAGACGTGGACCAGCAGGCTGACTATTAGACATTGTTATTCAGAAGATGAGGTGGAGGAATATCAGAAGAAGAAATGGGTCTAACAACTATCTTCAAAGTATTTGCTCGGGTTTTAGGTTACATATGGCAACCACTCAGGCCGAAACATCGCCCTGTGCCTCGAAAAGCTGGAAACTATCCACATCGGCGGATGGGATAAAGAGCGCATTATCAATTTCGAGGTCCTCGGAGACGACTGCCCGTGTGATTTCCGCATCATCACGAACAAGAAGTGCCAGGCTTTCGGTAACAAGGATGGCTACCAGTCTAAGGAGCTTTGGGCGAAGGACGACAATGGGCTCAGCCTGGCACTGCGCGGCATCTTTGTGAGTTGGGTGGGCTCGACTCCGGCCACGATGGGTGCTGTTGGTACGATTACAAGTCTGGGCGCTCCCGCCTGTCGAGTCCCAAAGCGAGCGGCTCTGAGCAAAAGAGCGCCCGGCAAACTTCTCTGCTCCGCTGCTAGGAAACCTTGTCCTTGCCACAGACAATTGAGCAGCTTGGGGGGGGTTTTCCGAGATCCGACTCCCTGTCTCTTGCTCCCTAGAAAGTCTTCCGATTCATCCACCTTCTCAGTCTCAAAGAAACAGGAACCTTGGCCTCAATCATTCGCCCAAACTCCCTCGTCTAACGGGAGTTCCCATGCATCCCTTGGGGGGTAATGTCCAAGTCGATAAGCGATGGGAAACTCCAGGGGACTCTATGGATATGAACGAAACACAATAAAATGATTGTTCTTGCTTCGCTAGTCATGACTGCTATTTTTATAGAAGGTGTGCCAAGAGAAATCTTGAGAGCATTTGTTCATGGCTTTTGGATTGGTGGATGTCCCATTCAGCTTTTGCCCTTTTCATTCTGTCACTGACATGCGCTAAACGCAAAGAAAACAACCCGATAAAAACTACTAGGATATCTGAGTATATCTAGGTATGTAAAATTGATAGTACTAGGTTGTATACAATTTTTTCTGGCCTGTAGCGAGACATTGTGGAAGGTGCTGCTTCCTGCACTAGGGCGGGATATTAGTGAGGCTGCAGCGGTGCTGAAGCGTGGCTACTGTAGACTAGCGGTGATCAACTGATTGTAAATTTGCCTGTTATTCGGCTAGGCCAGAAACATGTCGGGCCATATGACGTATGGAGCTATGCAAAGATAAAAATTTCGAGAATGATCATATATGAAGACTGCTTTGCGAACGTGGATTCAATTGTAAATGTAGCTTCATGTAGGGTAAGGTACCTATGGTTAGGTGGGTGGGCAGCTCAGCGTTGCCGACCGGTGGGTAAGGCTTCACAAAGGTCGAGCGCGACAAGAAAAAAAAAATAAGGGAGCGTAGCAAAATGCAATGGGAATTTTTTTTTTCCATTATCGATAGAATTGATAGACAAATAACCTGCTGCAACGATTGCCGACATGGACCTGTCCATCTTGTAGCCCTGCAAAAGTGGTTGGGGCAATCGGAACGTGTTTTGGAACTCCATCGGAAGCTGCACCGGTGGGAGCCGACGAAGCATGGCCGACCGCACATTTCCAACACACTCATTCCCTGTGCATTCCAATGGCCGGATGTCTAAAAAGGGCAAAAGCACCGAGGATGCGAGGGTTAATGTAAATTGTAGATCATTGATTTACCCTCATTTCATTGCTGTGAGTCGCTGCAAGGCAGTGCTGACCGCGCTCGGACCTAAGGTAGCTGATCTCCCAGCGAGGCTGTGCTGGAAATATTACAGGTAAGATTGCACGAGTTCTCCAGCGGTGACCAGCTTCTACCCGCCGCAGCACCAGTCGTCCACCTAGCGACAGTCGCAGCGTCATGCGACCGGCTGCTGAGGATCACAAAAAGGGCATACAGAGCAAATGAAGCACAGGTGACCACTATGGCGAGTTCAATGTAGGTAGTGGGACGGACTTTATGCCCACCTAAGCATTGGCGTTGGCGCACAGGGGAAATGCGCTGTAGGAGTACTTCACCTTCACAACATAGGGACCTGGAGCATTACGGGCGTACTTGTAGCTACATTAGGGGACACTCGAGCGCTGGGCTTGTGTGCCTTTGCGGGCGCAACGGTCGCTATAGCACAGCTACACCGCCCTGGCTGTTCACGATGGCCACAATCGACAGAAATCTTAATCTTGACGGCGCCGTAAGGGCACGATGAAGATCAATCAAATCAATGAAAGAGACTATATTTCGGACTAGGTAAGGACAGACTAGGTGAGGATAGACGATGTATGTAGGGACAGAGATGTAGGTAAGGACAGACTACAGGCCAAGTTCAATTTCGTGAAATGTCACACCAGGATTGGAACTTTGCAACAGTGTTTCCCACCACCGTGGGCAGGCTAGACCAAGCTCAATCCAGGCTTGGACCGTGCCTGGCCAGCGCCCACTCCGACAGCGAGTCGGTTCCTGCCTCCATTCTGGCCAGGGCATTCTCCAGGTAGAGCCATTGTTCAATGAAATTGCGAGCCGTGGCCGCCCAGATGAAGCAGCCTAGCCCAGCGGTGGGAGCCCACCGCTCAGACAGCATTATCTCGCTCGCCGCGGCCGCAAACTTGTAGAACCTTGTGGCCGTCACGGCCTCCAGTTCCTCCATGGTCATATTGGGCTCGTCCCTGTACAGCTTGTAGGCTCGCGGAACGTCAGGGTCAGCGTGCTCGTAGACCTCGTCCACCATTTCCTCGTCCTGATCCCCCATGAGGCGCAAGCAGGTCTGCCAACCCTCGTACACATGGCGCCTGACCTGCGCTATCTCCCTGGTGACGACGAACCTGAAGGTCCAGACAAGCTCGTCCTCCAGGTCGTCCGCTCCGTGCTCCTTGTAAAAGCAGTGGTTGCACAACACGTCCTCCTCCAGCATGAGCAGCTGGCGTACTCCTATTTCGCGCCCAGCTTTCTTTTGGATGGCGGTTTCGTACTCTTGGGTCGGGGGATCGTGCAACATGTCTGGCTCAATCAAGCGAAACGCCCGCTGCTCCTGCCATGTGTGGCACTCGGGGCATCGTATGAGGTGCATTCTGAACTGCTTATCCCCGTCTCGCATGTCGAGGAGGGGGCGCATAGTCATACCGTTAATTCCCATTCCCGTGTACTCAGGCCACGGCGTCGGCGCCTGCGAGGGCCAGGCCGCAACTTCTGGGAAGAAACGGTGCAGAACCGATTTGAAGTTCATTGGCCTGCTCCTAACAATGGGAGGGTATGGATCGATGCTGCGGCCGCATGCCCTGCCGGCATCATGGACCAGTCGGACCTGGCATTCGATGCAGGTGCGGAACCTCCTCTTATCGCCGCGCAGGTCGGCGTCTAGCGCCTTGTATTCATCATTGATCTGTTCGATAATTCGCTTCTGTGTGCCGCGTTGCAGAGGCTGCTGGGCCAAAGCAGCCACATCTGGGATGCCGAGGGCTCCAGCTTGTGCCAGCCCGAACCTGCGCTGATCGGGGCACCCTGAAATGATATTGCGCACATCAAGACCCAAGATGTGCAAGAAGAGTTGGTGTCTTGCCTGTGTCGCTGGGTCTGTACAGGATGCATCCACTGCGGCGTCTTTCCTCATTGACGCTGGCACCCACGGGTTGGGCGCTGCAGCAGGAGTACCGATGTCCGGCTTCTGATAACCCAGGCCTATCACCGATTGGTTGTCAAACCAGACATGGCTACGCAAGCGGTGACATCTCGTGCATGCCCAACGGTGAGATTCAATGCCAGCCTCCGAAAATCGTTTATTATAGTCTCCGGTATAGAACCCCCCTCTGAGCCAGTCTAATGGGACATCAGGACCTCCGTACTCTGGTGTGAGCTCCAAAGCCAAAATACAGTTGTCGGTGTCTTGCTCTCCGGGATCGACTGTATTTCGGAGAGCTTTGTTGGTTTGTGAAATAGCAATAACGCTGACGGGGTCCAATTCGACAATGATCTTCTCCCGCAATTCAGTGACCAGAGAAGAGAGACGGTCATTGGACCCGGACGAGGTTTCACCAGCATCCATTGTGATGTTTTGAGCAACACAGGTTCGGCCACAGGAGACTGAAGATTACTGGATTACACGAAGATGGATTGGTATCGGAATTTGTAGACAGAAAAGGAGGCGCATGCAAACGACCGAGAATGAGTGAGAGGGGGAGATGGGAGGGCGTCCAACAGGGAGGGACAGGCGAGGTATTCGTCGGGCGTGGCTACTTTCCCCTTCATCCTGGAAGATTACTGATTGGTGAACGTTCCGTGAGACATTGGCTGCGTCGTTGCATAATGAGGCTTGCGGCGCGGGTTCAGCTCGGCGTGGAACTGGGCGTCCATTTGCACTTTCAGGCTCCGGGACGGGCTATTGGTGTGCGTGCGGTGTAACTCATTGGCTATCAGGCACACCTACCCGCTCTCGGATGACTACTTCTGATACATATTAGTAGGTCTGTCGCAAAAAGAAAAGAAACAAAATGACTTGTAGCAGATCCGCAGAGGCGGAGGCTGGCCTCTAGTCAAGCCACTTACATCTCCATTATGCCGCCTTGCAGGCGGAGAAAAGAAAAGTCGATCAGCAGGCAACAGCTGACCGGCGGTCTGGCCTGTTCGAGAGATCACGGCATGGCCACGGGGGACTGTAGTGCTCCATCCGTCGATGTGAGCACACACACCCTTTGCGCAAGCACGTTGTGGCAATCGCGACACGCTTGAATACACACCCAAGTACTTGGGTGGTACTTGAGGCGCCGAGACCTGGTGCAATCCTGGTTCTGCACACGCCACCATGAACGGCCCGCCATGGGGCCAATTATTCGCCCTTGGGGCATGGATTCTCTTGGCGATCTTGTGTGAGAGTTGGGAGAAGCAGTAACCAGGAGCAGCGCTTTGCTGGCAGCTGCGAGACAGGAGGATAATGGCTGAGGCATGTGCGGAGGGGAGGGGTGCCAACGTGAGGCAAGGAATAGCGATTGTTATTATTCGGCGATCCAGCGGGCTATTGTGCATGTTTAATCGCCCGTTGAAGTTTTACATATTGCATAATTCATAACTTCGCGGCGGTGAATAATTCGAGCCGTATCTGATGCAACGGGGAAACAAGGCTATGGCAAAACGTGTGCTCGTGTTGGGGCCGTGTACGTGTACGAGTAACACGCAAAGGGAGGGGAAAGCGGTGCCGTTTCAATGCGACTGTAAACAAAGAAGAGACTGTCAGGAGGCTCCAGGAACAGCCTACTGCGCTGGAGGAGAGGCCCTATTCGTGTCAAGGCAGCTCAGCTCAGCTTGGGTATGGGAATGGATCTTCTCAACAACCGAAATTCCTCGGGATGAACGCCACCCACCCCACGGTTGTAGCTTGGCTGCATCGCGCTGCTTGATAAGCTGCTGACTGCGTCTTGGACAGGTCATCATACACATGGAGGGAAACGAGATAGACAATTCAATCCATGCGCTCTTTGTAATGTGTGGCCTCGCGTCTGGTTCCTGACATGTCACTGGACATCCAAGGATGGCGTGGGAACCGCCACGTCCCCAGCTATCCGGAATGCTCTGGCGATGAAAATTTTGCCTGATATTCTTGCTTCGGCGTTAAGCCATGCCATTCATTGCGACCGTTCAGTCCTTGTGGATGATTTCCTTGAACCGATCTAGAGTCCATAGGCAAAATGTCTGGATAAGGTCTGTCATCAATTGTCAAAATTGAGACAAGTATGAGTCTGGCAGACGCAGTGGAAATGAACAATAAACAACGTACATCTTGTCATGCAGAATCGTGACAGGCGCGAGAAGGATCGCTCCGTTCGCCTCTAGGACAGGATCTTCAGATAGGCTTCAATGTTGGACTATTGATGAGTTCGTCATTGGCCGCAGTGTCGTCTCAGTAGGCGCAAGGACCGTGAATTGCGACCGGGAAACTTCTGTCCTCTCTTCGACCCAATCTCTCTCGCCCTCTTCCCCGTGGCATGAAAAGGCTGTGCGCAACGCATGTCGTTCCAATTCCATGAAGTCTTGATCGTGTGCCCTAGGGAAAGACGCTACTTCGAGAATGTTGGACGGCGAACTGCCCCGTTCGAGCAATTGTACAAGGCCTAGCAGACTTTATTCCGTCATTGACAATGCCTCCGAGCGTTCAATCCTCCTGCCACCCTGGCATCTAGAAGACCAACGATTGCGATCGTGAATATGGCACGAGAGCATCCGACCGGGGACCCGATAAGGGCGCTCCGGAGTCTCTTGCATCTTCCCGACATGATCCGGAACCTATTTGGCCACATTGATAGCCTGCTGGTTTGACTGGCAAGTGGAAGCGGCCATAGTCGTCACTGAGGCACCCTCTCTAGCTGCGAGGTTGACCATAGTCCTCCCTCTTGTGATGCTTGAATGCTCCTTTGCATCTCCCAACACTTCCTCTCCAACTACCGCACTAAGTGTAGCGCGAGTGCGCTTCCCAGACAACACAGTGATCAGAGCCTTGCCCTCCAGCGCTTGCCGTAGCCCCGGAGGCCCAAGGATGGCGACCGTGTGTGTGTGCTTGGTTCCCAGAATAGTCATGTCGGAGCGTTCACTCGCTGTGACGTTGCCGCCGCTTTGACATATGTTTGTGACGATCCGTACTGCTCAAATTGCTTTGTTGATTGTGCCGCCGACGCTACTGACTTCAGGATACGAAGTCATGCCTGGAGAGACCTCGTCCCATGGTCTTTGACGAGGCCTGGCAAGGCGGCGTTGCCCATCTACGTAGCCGAGGGTGCATAAATTGAAACGCCTCAGGGTCGGCATGTTGAGGAAGTGGGTTCGTGCTTTTGCGGTTCTATTCTTCCTTTGGTTCTTTTTCCGTCCGCCGGAGAGGATCCGATGAGGTAGCAATTGAGGGAGAGGGTGAGGGCCGAGGGGTTTGGCAAACGACTTGTGGCTTCTTTGAGATATTTTTTTGAGCATAGAATTGCTATGTGTGGTTTGGATGCAACTGGCGCGTCGTCTGGTTGCCCCCTAACGGAAGGTCGGCCCAGATGAAAGCAGGAAGTTTCTCTTGGCTCCTGCCATGTCTGCCTCAGTCGCGCACTTGCCGCCGTGATGGACTGTAGACTCGATCATCGTGGGTTGGGCAGGTGCGGGTTGGGTATGTGCATGGGCACCGCTCGGCGGTCGACCAACCCAAACACCAACCCAGCGCTGAATTGAATGGGCCTTTCTCGGTCGGAGCGTCATGGCATTAATCAGTTCGCGGTGAAGTTTTAGATCTATTTGGATAGTATTAGTGTTGACGGACTATGATAATCGCTTTGTGCCTCTCTTTTCTCCTCTAGCCACTGTCTCTCGGCATATTGCATCACGTTGGCCAAAAGGAGTTTGTCCAGAAGTTTGCAGACTTAGCAGAAAGAACAACGCGGATTTTTCACTGGCCATCAATATCTCTGCGTCTTTTTTTTACCCGAATACACATTTTAGATTGATAGAAAGCCCTGGCGCGTGAATTGTCGCCTTCAAGAATGAGGGCCAGTGTGTTAGAAAAACCGAGTAACGCCTTGTCTGCGACAGGCCTCTAAAACTACAGGAGGCTTACAGGCCACTGGGGGTCCTTCATTGTGCGGTTAGCGAACTTCTATAGTGGACAAATGCAGGTGCACTAAACCGAATGCCTAGGTAGGAAATACATGCTAAAACAATTCTACCACGCTGTAAGAAGGCTCCAGCACTTCCATCTAACACCGCCGCGAAAACCTCCCCTTCGCCACGACATATTTGGAAGTGAGGCCATCATGGCCACCCGATGAACAGAGTTCCTTTTTCGGAATGATTACTGCCTTGAATAAGCAATCATCTAACCATTCCAAGTTACTCCAACCTCTCAAAGACGCGGTTGGCCTTCAATAAAAACGAAACCCAATGGGATCATGCCCCTTGGCACTACACTTGCTGAAGGGAGTTCATGGACACAGCTCTATGGGCCGCCTACACATCACAACAGCCCTAGAAGAGAGATTTATTAGAGATTAGCTAACTTTTCTTTTGCGTCCCTAGCTACCCTTGATAGAGGATTCTCCCACATTCGTCGCCTGAGAATAAGAAAGACCGATTATACTGTCCATTCACCGTTTACGCTCGTCCGATGTTCCAGAATTCGTCGCCGGTAGAGGGCTCCTCGAAAGGATTACTTTTGGTCCCACAGCGGTAGTTATGAATTTTTCAACTGTGGCTTAGTCAAAAGTCGATGGCAGACATTCGAAATACCTTAACGAAGACGGAAGCCTCATAAGACGGGCCTCTTCCTCGACTTCATTCTGTTGCGATCGATGTGAAGATTAGATTGAGAACAGACAGAGATGGTCAAATCATCTACCACAACGGTCGAAACGGAGACACCATTGCCAAGTGCTCGGCCCCTCGATACGGGCGTACTCGCAATGAACGACGAGATCCACTCAACTAATGATAAATGCATTGAGATTCGAGCAAAAGCTCTCATAGTTCGATAAAGGGGTCTGCCATATATCATACGAGACCGAGAAAACATTTTGGTCTATGAGCGGAGATTCCTGAAAAGAAGGAAGACTCCGGCACGGAACAATAAAATCAACGGCCTATACTGCCATAATTTTAGGTTTTGGAACAAACAGATCGAAGATTGATGTCTAGAAAGCTAATAATCTTGACTGCATCTCTTCGACTGGCCCTAGGCTTGATGTTATATTGGTAAGCTTCCGATAGACCCCTTTATGTCGCTTTCCACGATATCGAACAGGACCTCTACCTTAGAGTAGGGATATGGCATGTGTAGGAGAAAGAGGATAAAGTTTAACAACAATGAAGCTGCCAGGGCCCGGACAACTCAACGCAATGAATACGAAAAGCTTAAAAATATAGCCTTTCCTAGTACACCCAAGGAGTCATACGGCTAGAAAAGCCTAACCATGTAGGGATATGGCATATCAAGTATCATCCTGGGGGAAACAATTGAATAGTTGAACGATGGTTCTATCTCTAGCTAAGTTGAGGCTAAGCATCTGCATAGTGGTGAAACATAGGTTT